TTGCCATCTTAGGCCCAATCCCCCGGGGAGCGGCCTAAGCCAGCAGGTGGTCATCCCCTGAGGGGCCCAGACTGCGAGAGGGCACAGGCCGGGCTGAGGGACCCCTCCCCCTTACCCCCCGAGTGCACAAATTTTTGTGCACCCGGGGCCTCTAGTATAGGATAATAAAAGGCTAATATGCAAATGGTCCCCTGGACTGGGAGTTCGACTGGGTGTTCGGCCAGGGGAGGGGGCCTGCTGGACCCCCCCCATGCACAAATTCATGCACCGGGGGTCTAGTAAGAACATAAGAGCCATGATATCATCGGTATTAACCTTGACGCCATTCCAAATGTGTATATTTTTTTATGATTTTATACTCCAAAACCTTTTGATGCAAAAGGAATATAAACTTTAGTGAAGGGTGATGAACACTTTAAAAAAAAAAACTAAAATTTTTATTTTTTAAAGCCCTTTTTTCTTTTTAGTCATGTAAACCCACTCCAATTCAATTTCTCTTATGTTTTTAACCTAGAAAGTTTGACCAAATAAATCCACTGAAGCTGCTTTTTCATAATCCTAATACATCTTTTATTGGTTCTAAAAAAAGACTTTCAAATTTTTTCTTTTATCAGAGAGGTCAAAATATAACATAGCATAATTAAAACAGCTTAGATATGGTCCTTTGACTACCTGAATGTCTTCTGACAAAGCAGAAGGGGCGAAAAGAAGGAGGAGCAGGGAGAGAAGAGGAGAGGGAGGGGAAAAAGAAGAGTAAATATCAAAATATTAAAGAAGTTGTTTTAAAATGAGCTCTTAAAAAGACCCACACAGTCTGCTAGCAAATGCATAAGAATGCAGCAGTAACTATTTTTTTAAATGGCCTTACTAGTTATCATGTCCTCTTTGTAAACATGTATTTGCTAATACCTGTATTTCTAAGGACAAGGGAAATAGTTTCACTTGGATATGGATACAACCATACAATGTAGTAATGCACAATGGTACCAAGAGCTGGAGCCCTCCCTCTCCATTGGGTTGAACTTAGCCTTAGTCAATGCAAAATTCTGTACTATTCCACTCTGGCCCTCTAGGCAATGGTATCAAATGTCCACAGCAAGAGCCATTATATATATATACACATCTCTCCTCACTGCCCTTAAATCTATCTATTAAAAATTCAGACTTTGCCGAAACCGGTTTGGCTCAGTGGATAGAGCGTCGGCCTGCGCACTGAAAGGTCCCAGGTTCGATTCCGGTCAAGGGCATGTACCTGGGTTGCGGGCATATCCCCAGTGGGAGGTGTGCAGGAGGCAGCTGGTCGATGTCTCTCTCATCGATGTTTCTGACTCTCTATCTCTCTCCCTTCCTCTCTGTAAAAAATCAATAAAATATATTTTAAAAAAAAAATTCAGACTTTAGTTTTTTACAACTATTTTTCCATGAAATTATTTTTAACAACTAAAACAGTACCCTAAAACCGTGGTTAGCAAACCGCAGCTCGCGAGCCACATGCGGCTCTTTGGGCACATGAGTGTCGCTCTTCCACAAAATACCACATGCGGGCACGCACGTACAGTGCGATTGAAACTTCATGGCCCATGTACAGAAGTTGAGAGAGAGGAAGAGACGGTATTTTGTGGAAGAGCCACACTCAAGGGGCCCAAAGAGCCGCGTGTGGCTCGCGAGCAGCGGTTTGCCGAGCCGTAGTTTGCCGACCACTGCCCTAAAACATATGTCTAACTTAACACATTATGGACTAGTAATTTTATTGCTTGCTTTACCCAGTGGCCCCATAAGTTTCTATTGAACAAGTACAAAAAAGGTTTCACATAAATGTTAAAGGCACTCTTTAAAATTAAATACCCATTGCATTTTGAAGTTATTTATTACATGTTCTTACAAGATAATATCTTTTTAAAGTATGATTGACCACAAGCCTTAGAACAGAAAACACAAGAATTCTCGTGATCCGTCTGCAATGTGTTAATAAGCATTGTTCCAAAGATTATTTCCATGTACACCTTCCATACAAAAAAATCAAGATTGTCTGTTCATTGTATGCATATATACATAACTCATGGACACAGACAAAAGGGTGGTGAAGGTCTGGGGTGGGGGGTGGTGGGGTGCAGGCTAGAAGGGGTCAATGGGGGAAAAGGGGAACATAAATAATACTTCCAACAATAAAGATTTGATTTAAAAAACAAAAAGAATAAAAAGCTTGTTCAGTTCAGAGGTCTGATGGTAGTTTTTTAAAACACAAAATCACTCCATTTGTGATTTTTATGGAAGATGTGAAAGTCTGTCTAAAAGTCATCCAAATAAAGAGGCAAATACACCCTCAAATTCTTCATTTTTTGGAAGATATTTTGTGCGTTCTTGTGTGCCTGAGCTATATAATCTTAGCAATAATAATCTGGTCTAGATCTCTTCACTTTTAAAAGTCATCTGAGATTCCACACTTGACCCAGAACAAAGCAGCAATTTTTCGGGATCATCTCTGTGCCTTCGTGTCCAAAGTTCCCCTATACTTTGAGACCTTGCAGACAGGGTTTCAAATTGGATATAAGTCTCTTTCTCCAAATCTTCTTCCCAGAAGGATTCTGACTTACATTGCAGTTTGCAAACTTTATACAACAGGAAAAAAATCAATGGCAAGACAACCACACAGGCAGCGCCGCTCACCGCAATAAGGAAGGGCTCTTGAGAATGACCTTCAACACTATCAGTAGAAAAGGTGATACATTGGTCTTTCTGGGGAGGCGCTCCTTTTGGACAGACACATGCTATGTACTGCCTACCAGGCTCCAGGCCATCTATAGTTACTTGGTTCTTGCTGAAGTCTGCATTCAGCAACAGCAGGTCCTTATCCCCATGCTTGGAATACAACACGGTCACCTCAGAGTTATGCATGGTGTTGATGGTGTTCCACATCAAGGTCACACTCTCTTTGGTCTCGCTGACTGCCCTGAGATTTTCTATTGTGGGTCGATCCAATAATGCCAGCTCTTCTTTTCTACTTGCACTAGCTGGGGGACGCTTACTTCCACCCATCTCCACCTTTAAATTTCTTTCCCCATCTGGATGGAGCTGGAGTGACTGTCGGCTGGCCATGGTGGTGCTTGTTGAAATTTTAGTGCTTGGAGTTGTGGTGGGAGAAACAACGGAGGAGAAGAAAGGGTATAAGGAGAAGGAAGCAGCAGAAGGAGGAAATGAAGTAGAAGTAGAAAGAAAAGTGGAAGAAGAGGGAGAGAAAGAAGTGGAGGAAGAAGGCCAGGGAGATGGCGATGAGCCAGGTATGGATATAGATCTTCTAGGTCCTGGCTGGACTTCTCGCCCAGGGGGATCTCCATTCCTTCTTTCAGAACTGTCTGGTGCTATGGTGGTCGTGACAACACCAACCACTGTCACAGTAACCAGGGCTTCTGACATCCCAGCCAAATTTTTGGCCTTACACTTGTAATCCCCAGCATCCTTGTAAGAAATGTCTGTCAAGCTGATTACCGACCATCTGACTCCTTCCCCTGGAGATTCCTGAATTACTGGAAGAAAAAACATATATGTAATTCTGTGAGGAGGGAAAAAGCAACATGCCAACTGAAAAAGAAGCAACTGTTTGGTTCTACATGCGTCCCTTTTCCATACGCCAAGAGGGAAGTGGCATTCAAGCAAGTCCCTAATGGCAGTTGATGGTTCCATAAATTGCCTACATGAAGGTCTAGGTCAGTGATGGTGAACTTTTTGAGCTCAGCGTGTCAGCATTTTGAAAAACCCTAACTGGTGCCGTGTCACATATAGAAATTTTTTGATATTTGCAACCATAGTAAAACAAAAATTTATATTTTTGATATTTATTTTATATATTTAAATGCCATTTAACAAAGAAAAATCAACCAAAAAAATGAGTTCGCGTGTCACCTCTGACACGTGTGTCATAGGTTCACCATCACTGGTCTAGGACATGCCAGGTGCCATGAGTCTATACAGAAAATAGTATTTTTAAGAGACGTGGGACTGTGAATTGGGAGACTTCATTTTAGTAAACTTTTGTCCACTAAGTAGTATGTAATTTCAGACTTGTCAATTAGTGTCTTTAGGCCTCTGTTTCTGTATTTTTAAAATAAGGGGATAAGACAAAGTGATCTCAAAGATTCCTTCTAATTTTAATTCACTATTGTCCTATAAAATATTTATCACAAGGCCTTAATTTAATATTTCCACAAATATTTCTTCATTGAAATAAAATGCTATCTATCTACAGAGGGCACAGCAGATCATTTTCTGGCATGAAGGGGTCATAATTTGTATTCTCAATCTTTTATTTTATATTTAGATTACATAAAACTAGTAAACCACGGTTCTTTTATTTGCAGAATAATATATAGTTTTTGAAAAATTGGAATTTTACTTTCCTAAACACTTAAATCTGACACATTTCCATTCTGTCTTGATTTCTGAAGCTTTCTGAAAACTAATACACTAAGCAGTATCCCAAGAGCCCCAAATTTAACTCACACCTCAAGGTATGGACCATTTACTATCTATATGTAAGGATATTAAGCCTTGACTTTTTTTATCAGGTTTCATTATTTGAACCTTGATTTAATTTAACTTTCAGGAGTTTTAAGAACAGACTGCTTTAGACATCAGAATATCACTATAGAAACTAAGGCCAAAGCATTGGCTTAGACATAGTAGAAACTGAAAAGTCTATGAAAACAATATTTCCAAAAATTATACTTTTTGATTCACAATAATGTTTGCATGTAATTATTTAAATCATCATTTAAAATGAGAAACTGATATTAAAATCCTTTCTGAGGAAATTGTAATCATTATATATTTTAAAGCGAGTCATATCCAAGATGACATAGCAAGACAAAGGCCTTCTCTGCAGTCATTCATGCACTGGATCATGTTTTCTAAGAAAAAAAGTCAGATTTTCTAATTTCATTCATGTAGTTAGTCAGATACCAACTGAGGAAAATATTAACTAAGAAAATGAACTTTCAAATCCCTTTTGCCTAACACTCTTGGCATATTTTATTAGAATTAATGAGCAAATTGCAACTATTCCCCAAACCTGAGATTAAATACAGATCTTTGAAAACTTTGTTTCAACATAGGCCCGAATTTAAAAAAATACCTGTGTAATTAATAGGTGAGTGGTCAGATTTGGCCCATGTGAGTTGTGGGGTGGGGTAGCCAGTGGCATCACACCGTAGCAGGACATTACTGCCCAGAGCAGACGTGATTCGGGTGGCCGAGATCATCACCGATGGCTTCAGACACTGATCCAGCTCAGCCCGCTGAAATAAAATCCCTGTCAGGCGCTCGGGCTCACTGCAGACCATCAGTGGATCAAGAAGTACTATGGCAGGATCAGCAACTTTGGATATCTCGATCATTTTGGAAATGTGACAGTCACAGAACCACGGGTTGTCCTGCAGACCTAAACCAGAAGGAGGAAAAGGCTGATAAAGGTTATTCTGATGGCTTTAGTTTACATCACAGCCTCTTGGAGAAGCAGGTGTCTGCACCGTCTCCCTAAAAACAGAAGTACACTCAGGGATGAAATGGAGTCACCTTTCTATCAGTTTTTCCCTGGATCCAGTCACGTGAATGAACAAATCCTCTCAGTTCATATCATTAAGGGTCATAGTTAACAGTCATTGAGCACGTACTCTGTACTTTGTTCTAAGCACTTACTAGTATTTTCTCATTTAATCCCAACAACCCTATATAGAGGAGAGTATTGTTATTCCCCCTGTAAAGATGAAGAAGCTAAGACACAGAGAAACCAAATAATTTGACCAAGGTCACATAGCTAATTAGTGTCAGAGGCAAGATTTGAATCCTAGTAACACAGAATGTCATAAACAAAGTGATAGAGATATTTCTAGGGTGCTTTGAAAGTATTTATATTATTACTAGAGGCCCAATGCATGAAAATTCATACACTCCAGGGGTGGGGGTAGGTCCCTCAGCCCGGCCTGTGCCCTCTCGCAGTCTGGGACCCTCGGGGAATGTCCACCTGCCAGTTTAGGCCCACTCCCGTGCAGTCAGACATCCTTACCGCTGCAGAAAAGGCAGGAGAGGCTCCCGCCACCACTGCTGCGCTTGCAGCTGTCAGCCCAGCTTGTGGCTGAGTGGAGCTCCCCCTGTGGGAGCGCACTGACCACCAGGGGGTAGCTCCTGCATTGAGCATCTGCCCCTGGTGGTCAGTGCACATCATAGAAACCGGCCATTCCCAGTCATTCTGCCTTTAGGGTCAATTTGCATATTACCCTTTTATTATACAGCCAGTCCTCGGGTTACAGCATTTCGTGGTTACGTTGCCATCTCCCATTTATTTATAAAAAAAAAAGTTTCGTCATTTCGATATATGTACATATGTGCTTTATGTTTTTTATTTATTTACCACAAGTAAAGGTCAGGAATTGTTATCTTTCTTTTAAATTTTTTTTACTGTTTCACTTCATTACTGCTGTGTATGTGCTCCATGTGAGTGACATAGATGGTTACATAGGTGGGTTCCGACTTACGGCAAAAATCGTGTTACGTCGTGCCATAGGAACGGATCTCCGATATAACCCGAGGACCTACTGTATAGGATAACTATTATAGGATGCTGAGAGGCACCTAACTCAGCCTGCACTACGTTATGATTGTATGTGATCTGCAGACATATTGAGGTAGTACAACTTCTGTGCAGCAAAAGCATTGAGTGAGATGCAGACAGTGTCAGGAGATAAGACTGGAAAGATTGGTAAAGGTTAGAACATGGCTTGGCATGAATTTCATATGTGGTAGCCATGAAGATATATTGCCCAAATTCCCCTTCAGGAGAGAATCAGCAGCCAGGAACACAGTTGGTTGACAACCTCCTGTTGCAAGTGCCTTCAGGATCTGCCTCAGCTATCAGAGTTATTAGCCAAAATGTGTTGGTCTTCAAGGAGGCTGTCAGTGTGAGCTTAAAGGAAAGTGAGGAAAATGCTACTAGAAACTAGAGGGAAGGGGACCCTTGTTATGGAGTGGCAAAAAGTTTAGCAACACTGTCACCTGTGGTTAACAGGAAAAGTGGGAAACATATTCAATAAATAAATGTTCTAGCTAAGGATATTTCCACACAGAGTGCTGCCTGGTATCTTCTTGCTGCTCATAATAAAATGTAAAGAGACATCAGCTAAAAGAAGATATGAAGTATAAATATAAAATATTTTTATATATAAAAGCTAATATAAATATAAAAGAACCAAAACCTGTTGGGTCCAATAATAAAACTGTTTCAATATGGAGGTTCCTCAAAAAATTAAAAATAGAACTGCCTATGACCCAGGGATTCCACTTCTGGGTATATATCTGAAGAAACCTAAAACACTAATTGAAAAGAATATATGCACCCCATTATTTACAATAGCCAAGGTAAGGAAGCAACCCAAGTGTCCATCAATAGACCATTGGATAAAAAGGCTGTGGTATCTTTATACATTAGAATATTAACCAACAATAAAAAGAATGAAATCCAATATATGCAACAGCATGGATGGACCTAGAGCAGTGATGGCGAACCTTTTGAGCTCGGCGAGTCAGCACTTTGAAAAACCCTAACTTAACTCTGGTGCCGTGTCACATATAGAAATTTTTTGATATTTGCAACCATAGTAAAACAAAGATTTATATTTTTGATATTTATTTTATATATTTAAATGCCATTTAACAAAGAAAAATCAACCAAAAAAATGAGTTCGTGTGTCACCTCTGACACGCGTGTCATAGGTTCGCCATCACTGATCCTAGAGGGTATTACGCAAGTGGCATAAGTCGGACAGAGAAAAACAAATACCATATGATTTCACTTATATGTGAAATCTAAAGAGCAAAATAAACAAAATAAAAGCAGACTCATAGATACAGAGATCAGACTGATAGTTGCCAGATTGGAGGGAAAATGGGGGGCTGGGTAAAGACTGTGAAGGCATTAAGAAGTACAAATTAGTAGTTACAGAATAGTTATGGGGATGTAAAGTACAGCATAGGGAATATAGTCAATAATATAATAACTATATATGGTGCCAGGTGGGTACTTGAAATATTGGGGGATTACTTTGTAAAGTATAGAATTGTCTAAGCCTTATGCTGTACACCTGAAACTAATACAAAATAATATTGAATGGAAACTATAATTGAAAAATAAAAAATAATAAAGCTGTTTTTTATACTGAGCCTCTCCAAAATTTTCAAATTAAGAAAGAGCTTCAGAGTGAAAATTAATCCAGTGTGGGTGAGACCATAATAGCATTTGCTAAGATCTCAGAGGGATCTAAGATGGTGCTTCAGAGCCTGCAGTCAGACAAAGTCTCTCTAAGGATCTTAAGGGTGATGTCCCGTAGCAGCCTCCCACTAGCCTAAGGTTGAAAGGATTTACCTCAGGAAGATTTGTGGTTGTGACTTTTTACTAATGGAGTGGATTATACAATGATTCCTAAGGAGAAACGACAGAATTGCAATTTTAAAAAATTCTAACCATGGTGGAAGATTTAACTGTTCACTATAAATTCTAGATTTCTATTTATGCCTATCTATAATAATAAAAGCATAATGTGCTAATTAGACTGGACATCCTTCTGGATGACCTTCCGGACGAAGCCGGTGCTGCGAGGGAAGCCAGTGCCGGCAGCTGGGAGAAGGAAGGCCTACTCTTGCATTTCATGCATCGGGCCTCTAGTTTTTATTATAATAGCACTTCATGACTGATCATTATTTTCTGCCAATATTGGTAAGCATTTATTGTGTGTGTTTTTTCAACTAACCTAGAAATTCCTTAGACTTCTTCCTCTTATAATTAGTCCTGTGAATCTATGACCAGTTCCCTAATATTGATTTGAATTCTATTCAACCTGCCAACAAATATCAAATTCATCCTGTCATGTAATAATTAATATGTGTATACTTTATACTTTCAAAACACCTGCTATCCAAGATTTTTTCTTTATAAGATAACAATACAAGTTGACAGTTATTGATTGCTTCCTATGTTGCAAAGACTGTATTTGTCAAGAATTGTAAAAGGTCTGAGTTTTACCCTACTCTAGAGTGACCAACTCATCCCAGTTCACCAATTTCTTAGATGTTGGCAGAAGACACAAGACTCCTGCTCAGAGATGAAGGACAGTTTATTACTCACAGCTCTGAAGGGAGAGATTATCTTTATTGCACTGGGCAGTAAGCATGCCTACCCTTTGCTCTGGAGGGAGACATACCTCTACCTTTCAAAGCAGCTCTCTACACAAATATTCTTGAAAAGATAGTTCAGAACAAAAGGCAGTCAGTGCCTGCCTCTGCTCAGCAGACATGCAGAGATGTGAGGGACAATGGGACATTGTCTCCCAACAGTGCTCAGCATGCCCAAGGATCTGTCTGACAACAGCATGAGGCGGATGATATTAGTATCATCCTCACTTTAAGGAGGAGAAAACCAATGCTCTGGGAGGTTAAGGGGTCTGCCCAACTGGGATGCAGTCAGGATTTGAACCTCACGATCCTGATCTTAAAGCTCTCATTCTCCACCACCATGTATATGTCTTACACGGACCTCAGGAAGCTAGTATGGTTTTTCCAATTTCACACCAAAGGACATTAAAGCACCGAGATCACTTTCATGGCTTCATAAGTAGTCCTAATCCTACATGCTGTAGCCTCCTAATCTAATACTCCTTCTACCATAACTCATTTCTTCATCACCTAAAAACAGCTAGAGCCACAGGTGGCCGTTAGAAGTGCTGTTATCTACAAATAACCAATGTCAAGGCAGTGATATCTGGAGTACAAACGTCTACATAGGGGAAGATCAAAGAGCTGTAACGTTAGCAGTTTCATTCGAGCTTTGAAACTGTTATAAAAATGTGTTAACAATGAAATAAAATTCTTTTAAAAATTAATCCAACTTGCTATATCTAAAAGTTATGTAAACCAGGGAAATATCTTCAAACCCCTCAAGAACAAAACGTGCATTTATTCCAGCTTTGGAATATCTAAGGTCAAAGGTACAACTTTAAAAACCTGAATAACAGCCATCTAAGTGCTGAACACATTCATCAAGTGTTTTTTCTTCTGGGGACAAAGGTACAAGAGCCCTCTGAAGTTAAAGTGTTACTTGTACTGCATTCCTTCAAAGCAACGTGCCAACCGCAGTCACAGTAATTTGCATTTATTAATTTATTTTAGATTGCTATTCTTGGCCAGAGCCAGATGGACTTTGCCTTACCTTTTTTCTAAAGGGGTAATGCTTTCCATGCATCACAGTAATTGGATTAAATGGGCTAACAAAAAAATAAAAAATAAAAACAGACTGATAGTTACAGAGAAAAGACTGACAGCTGACAGAGTGGAGAGGAGTTGGAGAGCTGGGTGAAAAAGGTAAAAGGATTAAGCAAAGAAAATAAAAAACAC